AGACAGGTGAGACAGGTGAGACAGGTGAGACAGGTGAGATATGGACAGGTGAGACAGGTGAGACAGGTGAGACAGGTGAGACAGGTGAGATATGGACAGGTGAGACAGGTGAGGTATGGACAGGTGAGACAGGTGAGACAGGTGAGACAGGTGAGATATGGACAGGTGAGATATGGACAGGTGAGGCACAGGTGAGCAGCAGCCGCTCACCTGCCAGCACCCACAGCGTGCCGTTCACCATCGGGGTGCGCGGGGCGTCTGTGGGACAGGTGAGACATGGACAGGTGAGATATGGACAGGTGAGACAGGTGAGACAGGTGAGGTATGGACAGGTGAGACAGGTGAGATATGGACAGGTGAGACAGGTGAGACAGGTGAGACAGGTGAGACAGGTGAGATATGGACAGGTGAGACAGGTGAGATATGGACAGGTGAGACAGGTGAGACAGGTGAGACAGGTGAGACAGGTGGGATATGGACAGGTGAGACAGGTGAGACAGGTGGGACATGTGGGATATGGACAGGTGAGACAGGTGAGATATGGACAGGTGAGATATGGACAGGTGAGCAGCAGCCGCTCACCTGCCAGCACCCACAGCGTGCCGTTCACCACCGGGGTGCACGGGGCGTCTGTGGGACAGGTGAGATGGGACAGGTGAGATGGGTCAGGTGAGACAGGTGAGATATGGACAGGTGAGACAGGTGAGACAGGTGAGACAGGTGAGACAGGTGAGGTGGAACAGGTGAGATGGGACAGGTGAGATACAGGTGAGACAGGTGGGATATGGACAGGTGAGATACAGGTAAAGCAGGTATTGGACACGTGAGACAGGTGAGACATAGACAGGTGAGATACAGGTGTTGGGACAGGTGACAGAGCTAGGACATGCACAGGTGAGGCAGGTGGGACAGGTATGGAGAGGGACCCAGTTGTGTGTCCAGCTGCCCCCAGGTGTGCCCAGGTGAGGTTAAATGGGGCTCAGGTGTGCCCAGGTGCCCCCAGGTGTGCCCAGGTGAGGTTAAAGTGGGGTTCAGGTGCCCCCAGGTGTGCCCAGGTGCCCCCAGGTGTGCCCAGGTGAGGTTAAAGTGGGGTTCAGGTGTGCCCAGGTGAGGTTAAAGTGGGATTAAATGGGGCTCAGGTGCCCCCAGGTTTGCCCAGGTGAGGTTAAAGTGGGGTTCAGGTGCACCCAGGTGTGTCCAGGTGCCCCCAGGTGTGGGTTCAAGTGTGCCCAGGTGTGCCCAGGTGTGCCCAGGTGCCCCCAGGTGTCCCCAGGTGCCCCCAGGTGCCCCCAGGTGCGCCCAGGTGCGCCACTCACAGGCCACGTGCAGCTCCAGGCTCCGGTTGTGGCGGCCGTGCCGGTTCTCGGCCACGCAGGTGTAGGTGCCGCTGTCCTCGGGGCTCACCTGCGCCAGGTGCAGCGGCAGCTCCGCCGCGCCCGGCTCCTCGCGCAGCACCTGCGGCCCCCGGAACCAGGTGAGCAGCGGGGCGGGGCGGCCCTCGGCCCGGCAGCCCAGGTGAACCTCGGAGCCCTCCAGGGCCTCGGCCGGGCCCGACACCTCCAGCACCTGCGGCTCGTCTGGGGGGACAGGTGAGTCAGGGACCCCAAAAACACCCAAAAATAACCCAAAAAATCAGCCAGAACCTGCCCAGGTGAGTCAGGGACCCCAAAAACACCCAAAAATAACCCAAAAAATCAGCCAGAACCTGCCCAGGTGTGTTAGAAACCCCCAGAACCTGCCCAGNCCAGAACCTGCCCAGGTGTGTTAGAAACCCCCAGAACCTGCCCAGGTGAGTCAGGGACACCAAAACCTGCCCAGAACCTGCCCAGGTGTGTCAGGGACACCTCCAGCACCTGCGGCTTGTCTGGGGGGGACAGGTGAGTCAGGGACCCCAAAAAACCCAAAATACCTGCCCAGGTGTGTTAGGAACCCCAAAAATCTGCTCAGGTTCCAATTTTCAATCTTTTCCCCCATTTCCCTCCCCCAGGTGTGCCCAGGTGTGTTCCCATCCCCTCCAGGTGTGCCCAGGTGTGCCCAGGTGTGCCCAGGTGTGTTCCTATCCCCTCCAGGTGCCCCCAGGTGCCCCCAGGTGCCCCCAGGTGTGCCCAGGTGTGCCCAGGT